GTAAACAACATATTAACTTATTTTTGTCCTTTTCATAAAATAGAATTGAGAGCATGGTACGTGTTTTCTAAGGAATTGATATTGAATTTTCTCATCTATGTTAAAACACCAATAACATATTTTTAGCTGAAAATTTTATATAATCTTTGAGATGCAAAAAGAGAATAATTTCATAAATAATGAGTGTTAAAACTTCTATAAATTGATCTAATCATTTTCATCGGACAATGTCTCCCTCTAAATCTCTTTTGAATACTTAACACACATGTCATTATCTTCATAGAAGCATCATACCCCTATAGTTGTAAGGTTTGTCATCTTTCAATAAAATCCCTAAGATTCAATTATATTCCTTCAATATTGTTAACAATTAGAAGTCACATAATGTAAATTATATCAAGGGATGATGATAAAATTGTTTTAATTCCAAGATGACCTCTATTTTCACATTTATTTCTAATAAATCCAAGATATTCTCATATTTCTTCATAAATACTACATGTTTGACTCCTTTTACCAAACTACTAAAGAAGTGAAGAAATTAAATATTGAGTATTTTAACTTTCGTGAAAGTTGTCCTTTTATCTCATAAATTAATTTCATGTCTCATTTTTCAAATATATTTTTCATCAAACTTTATTTTTCACAATTCTCTAATGAACCTATTTAATTTAAAAGTATTATAAGAATGAATGAGTATTTACATGACAAAATTGGTAGATGTAAGCAAATATGATAAGATAAACTAAAGATAAAAACAAAAAGTGATGGTATTTTTTCTTTTGCCAACATATGATCTTGATGCATAAAATGTGTATAAAATAAGAGACTTAAAAAAAGGTCACAAGAAAAAGTGGAGTTGCCTACCATAATCAAAGTCTTCGTGAGACCACCAAAATGTAATTTATTTTTAAAAAAATAATAAAGGTGCCACTAATATTTATTTAAGAAAAATATCAAAGAAACCTTATAAAAAGAAGAAAGAGAGTCATTTATGAAAACAAATTCAAATCCGAGAATCGATTATCTCGTAAAAATATTAACATCTTATAACATTCATTCTAAAATAATTATCTTTAATTAAACGGAAAAAAAAGTTAAACACCTTAAAAATTATTCATTTTATGAAAACCAACTAAAATAATATCTTAATGTATATTTAATATATTTATTTTTAAAATTAAATATTATGATTATTAAAGTAGTAGATAATATATTTCTAATGTTTTTTACTTAATAAAAATTAACTGTTGTAATGAAAATTTAGAGTTATACATTTCTTTTATAGATTTTTTTATGATAAATTTTAATATACTCCATAATTTTGATTTAATTATTTATTACTATAACTAGGTTAAAATTATATCAAATTAGTTATTATAATTTTACAAATAATCAAAATTGCATATTTAGAGTAACTTTAATTATATTTTTATAAAAAAATTAAAAAGAGATCTAAAATGGCTATAGTTAATTTTTAAGTAACCTTTAAAATAGCTATTCATAAATTATGTTCACCTTTTTAAAATTTTAAGATAATTTATTACTTTACTTCATTTTTTTTAGTTCAATTAAAAAATAAAATTACTTTACTTTACTTCATAAATTATTGTATTTTGTCTATTCTTTTTTTTTATGATAATTAACTCAAAAATACATTTGAAATTATTATAGTAATTTTAATAATAATAAAATTGAAAATATATTTAAAGTAATTATTAAAAAATTATAATTAATAAAAAAAACTTTGTTGTTTTAATATTAAACTAAAAATAATCAAGTAAAATAAATTTTACCATAAGTAAATATTGATAAAAATAAAATACTCATCTAAATTACTCATCTAAATTGTGAAGTAAAAATAAAATAAAATAATTGACAATTATGAAAAAAAGTTTGCATTAAAAAGTCTAATATTTAAACATATATTCATGTTATACTGATTAAATATTTTTTTTATTATTGTATATATTTTTAATCACTTTGATCTAATTAAAAACTTATTTAACTCAAGCATATAAGCTAATTAAGAATTTGTTAGATTTTATTGCCTAGACGAAATAAATCTATTGGACCCAAAAACTAAGTCAACATGACACTCCAGTGTTGTATCTAACCCTACTAAGCTCTAAATTAAGAAAACTTGACAAATAAAAACTGTATTAAACGAAGGCACATAAAGTTGATGAGGTATATTTATATTGCACCGTATGTAGAAAGTATAATGAAATTTAGTTTTAGGATTTTAGTTGAATAGCTATTTTTCTCAGCTTGTTTTTATTTATTGGTGATGATACATTTTATGGCTTAAATATAATCATACCATACAAAGAGAAATATATAATAATTAAGAAAAATCTTAATCTTATTTTTAAATAATATTAACAAATTGTTGTATATTTAATTCTCTCTTGAAAAAGTTAAGAAAAGGAGATTTTATAAGTTTTAGTTTGTAAAACACTACACAAAAGTGATAAACCTAAAATTATAATAAAAACAATAAACCTAAACACTAATTATATAGTAAATAAGCATTAGAATAAGGAGACATTGTAAATAAAAACAATAATTATATATTATATAGTAAATTTGAAAGAAAAAAAACTATGAAATATAAAGGACTATCATCAATTTGTTCCTTTAACTATCATTGATTTTTAACACAAAATAGATTCATAAGAATTTTAAATATTCATAATTAAAATAATTAAATTAAATTGGTTCATCATATTCAATTTACCTAAAAACACAATTCAACGTTTAAGAGAAACAATTACATAAACCTTCAAATTGATTTATCATGTAATTGAAGAAATTTAATCGAATAATCTTAATTACAATTTAGTAATAAATTATAAATAGTTAGAATCAAGAAGAATAAAATTTAAATCATAGAAAACAAGAGTTTGATCGGAAAATCAACCTTATAAACCCAGAAATCCATAAATTGTATTAAAATAATAAAGAAAACAAAAAATGTGTAAAAAAAAAAGAGTAAAGAAAATGTAAATTGAAAAAGTAAACAAGAGCAATAAAAAAATAAAGAAAAGACAAATATGATCTATAACAACTGGAATGAAATTTTTTTAGATAGAATCCATACAAAAATAATAAGAAAAAACTTGTAAAATTTACTCTATAAACTAAAAAAAAACACTAATAAAAAAATAATATTTAATAATAATTTATTATGACAATTATAATTCATCCGTATACTAAGCGAGACAATAACAATTTGGTAATTAAAAAGAACATTTGATTCAAACTTAAATCATCAAAATAAGTTTTTTTTTATATCGATTCACATGCATAACTTACATTTTTTATAAAATTTATTTAGTTAAATGTATTGAACCTTAAACCATTCAACAAGAATTTTACATATAACATCTATTTAAATAATATAAATAATATTTTTGTATGGTTAGTATAATTATATGAAAAATATTATTTTTCTTAATCATTAATTTTCATAAAAAATTAAACTTATAAGATTATATATATATATATATATATATATATATATATATATTTACTTACTTGTATATTCACTTTATTGTTAATATATTTAAATAAGTAATTTATTATATATATATATATATATATATATATATAAATAAGACATATATTATATATTAAGTCTCATTTTTTTTCTTTCTTTTGTAAATTATACATATTTATTTAATTTTTTATGATATTATAATTTATTTGAAATGAGTGGTACTAAAAGGTAATAAATTCAAAATTAACTTTATAAAGAAATTCTAATTCATAATCATTATAATATCTTAAGTCTTCTACAAAATAAGTAATTTCAATGACATGTTTAAGTTTTTATAAAGAAATTCTAAGTCATAACCATTCTAATATCTCAAGTCTTCTTACAATAATTTCAATGATAGACTTAAATATAGTAACGTGACTTTTTAAATTTCAAAATAATCAATGTCTTCGTTAATATTCCACTCATTTGGAGTTCTCTTCCGCTCATGTTGTAAATCTTTTAGCATTTTTTATTTTGAGGAAAATGATCTTAATATAATTTATAACAGTAATTTTCATAAATATTAAGTTGAGTATGTTAGTTTTTTCTTTTTTCAAACTTTATAATGAATTTATTGTTGATTAATATTAGAGTTAATAAGAATAGTAAATTTCTTTTTCAATATAACAAGATTAATATCTATATAACTGAGATAAAATTAGACTTACTTATTTATTCCGTAAAAGAAGCTAACCTCATTAAAATTTTGCGGAAGCAATGTACGAAAATTTTAAAGTAATACTACGTAACAAAATTTTATATATTTGATTAAATTATAAACAATATAACTAAGCTATATTAGTGTTATCCTTTAGGTCGTACATGAATAACTAACATACACACGCTAATATAATTATAATATTAATGATAATTAGCATATACATATCAATTAGAAATATTTATTAACTTTGAAAAAAAAAATTTAAGATGAAATAAAATTCACAAACTTGATAATTAGAGTTTATAAAAAAAATGTAAAGAGAATTACTTAATTTCACAATCGTATTATCATGTAAAATTATAATAATTTTCTAATAATTAAATAAAATAGAAATCTCAAGCAAAATCTTAAAATCTTTTGTATAAATTTTGAATCAAGATTTGTTCTTTTAAATTAAAACTATAGTCTAAATAACTTTATATTTGTTTAAAATTTACATATATTTTTAAAATTAACATAGATTTGTTATTATTATTATTATTATTCAATTTGTAAAGAATATAGGAAATAAATAAAAGTGGAGAAGATATTGAACTAAGAAATGATATATTCGACAATGAGTTTCTTAAATGTGAAACAGAGAGAATGAAAAAGTTCTCTCATTCCCACAAATGTACATTACTTAACCCCCAATCCACCTTTGACTCTGATATTCACTGACCCTTAAGAAGCTAAATACACAAAACTATGGCTCCTCTCACTCCTATAACAACAACAACCTTATTCTCATTTTCGTTACTTTGAAGCCACTCCAACTCTCTCCCCACACAAACCCCCCTCGTTGCATATCTTTCTTCCACCAAGAGGCACAGTATACAACCAGATTGTAGTGAATAGTATAGCCAGAAATTTGCCCCACACCACCAAAACCAATAGACTCAATGCAAGCAAGCAGCAGAGAGCTATATTTGAATCATACAGTGTCTTCTTTCTATCTTCAACTGCACATTGCTTCTCCTTCGTTACACCCTTTGGTGATGGCAATGCTTGGTGAGTGGAAAAACTCGACACGTGACCAGGGCTTGGTAAAGAAGAGGTTGAGGCGCGTGAAGATGATGGAGAGCATGAAGTGGGTGAAACGTTTGGACAAATTCGGTATGTGATTTTAGTTTTAGGGTTTGAGAATTTTGGACTGGTTTCTTCCATGTCCTTGCTTGATCCGGACAAGGATAGTTTGTTCTTATTTGCTTTCCTTCTTTTAACAACCAATCTCATCTAAAAGACCCATAAAAAAGAGTCAAACTAATATTATCTTATAATTACTCTACAACTATATATTTCAGTATATTTACATTCAGATTGTGACCATTGTTAGAAACTTTCCAACTATTTTTAAACTGAAAATTCTCAAAAACATTGTTAGACACATAACTGTCCTTCATTACAAAATTATATAATACGATAATATGTGTAAGATATGTGTTTAAAAATATATAAAATATACTAAATATAAAATTTTATGTATATCCAAATTTTAAATTTCTGATTATCGATAATTATAAAGGAGATTTTCTTTTCTAATATCTTTTTAGTGTGTTGTCGAATGAAGAAAAAGAAATGAAAAGAACTATACCAAAGTGGTTTCGTTCAAAGCGGATCTGATGGCCTTCCATTTTCTCCGGCGATTTTCGCACTTATCTCCGACTCCGAACATGGACGACAGCATGGCAGGCAAAACGGCACCGTCCTTGTCAGCGACGGCGAGATACGACAGAACGGGGTCGCTGGGGTTGCGTTTGGACACAGGGGATGACAAAGGAGACACGTCCATGAGACCCATGGTGGGTTTCAGACGCGTGAGCAACGACCTCTTGCCTTTGTTCTTCGATTCCATGACCACGCCAAGAAGAAGATGGAGATTGAAGAAGAACTATCAGGACCACGAATCCTTAGCCATAAACGAGGGTGAACGTACGTGGGAGATGAGATTACATAATATTACAATAAAGGATTGTGAAGGATCGAGGAAAAAGAAAGATAAATATAATGGTTTGAGATTTAATGGTTCCGGTTATTTCGTTGTTTTCTATACTCTGGTTACACAACACGGATGCCGGAACAGTGTTTCTTCCAAGTTTTACCTATGAATATGGATAACGAATGCCTCAATTTTGAATTTCTCTCCTTTTCTAGACCAATCAACCCTTCCTCTTTTTTAGGTCTTACAACTTTTTTTTATTATTATTATTATCTGAAAAACATTTTTTCATGATTGTAAAGTGTAATTAATGTTTTTAAATATGTTTTCTTCATTATATGAAAAACAAATACTTTTATTTAATGCACGTATATAAAAAGCAAAAACAAAAAAATAAAAATAAGACAGGTAGTATAAAAATTAATAAATTTATTATTTAATATTAATAAACAGTGTAAAATTTATGATCTTGAAAAGCAATACATTAAATATATTTTACCTTTTCAAAATATGTTTAGATGTCGAACAAGGCGACCTTTTCAAATCATTTTCAGAACTTAATATACTTGATAACCTGATAGAATTTTAACTCTTTTATAGTTTATAAGTTTTTTATACACAAGAAAACTTTCGTATAATATAAATTCGTAGACCAAGACAACGAATTTTATTTGGATGAAATCAATTATGAAGAATTAAGCGGAATCCTGGGAACCACTTTCTGTGAAATGCTCTATAAACAGAATCAATGTAGAACAATCGGAATATGCAGAGAGTTTCTAGAGCAGGATTAGAACTACGTCTTACTTGACAACAGTTGTGTTGAGTGGTCTTATTTTTTCCTTTATTTGTGTGTAGGGTTTATTGTTTGTTCTTCTACATGATACTGCAGAAACAATGGTAGGGGACTAGAGGTGGATCGTTGCCGGTGCCTCGTATTGTTGAAGGACAACGAATGCTTGTGATGCGAGATTCATCTATCTGTAGACCATCATCTATATAGTCAATAATCTCACCTGGCCGCAGAATAATAGGCCACCGCAGCTGAAAGTTCATCTGCCTCAATGGTGCAGCGCCGTTATCTGGACCTATATCTGACATGAATCTCGGTTCTTCCACCACTATCCTCTGTCTTGGTGGTGACTCAGTCTCACTTTCTTCTTCTACTTTACATATATCCAGAACGTCCTTCCCCTTTATCTGTCTTAGTCGTAAATTATTCTCATTTTCTTCTTCTATTTCACGTATTTTCACAGCGGCCCCGCCCATTATCTGTCTTCGTTGTGACTCATTCTCACTTTCTTTTTCTACTCCACATGTTGCCTCAACGGCCTTGCCCTTTATCTGTCTTCGTCGTAACTCATTCTCACTTTCTTCTTCTATTTTACATGATTCCTCAACGGCCTTCCCTTTTGTCTGTCTTTGTCGTGACACATTCTCACTTTCTTCTTCTACTTCACCTATTTCTTCGTCGGTCTTGCCCGTTATCTGTCTTCGTAGTGACTCATTCTCACTTTCTTTTTCTACTTCACCTGTTTCCTCAACGGCGTTGCCCGTTATCTGTCTTCGTTGTGACTCATTCTCTCTTTCTTCTTCTACTTCACACATTTCCTCCACCTTGCGCTTGTCCTCTCTTGCCCTGCTCTCAGCTTCAACAATTTCTTTAGATGGTCCCTCACTCTTTTCATCTCTTGCTCCACTCTCAGCTTCTATGATTTCTTCAGATGGACCCTCGCACTTGTCATCTCTTGCTCCGCTCTCAGCTTCTACAATTTCTTCAGAGGGCCCCTCCCCTCTGTCATCGCATGGTCCGGACTCAGCTTCTAGAAATTCTTCAGATGTCACCTCGTCCTTCTCCTCTCTTGCTCCGGTTTCAGCTGCTTCCTTGCCCCTGTCTCGTCTTCTTCGATGGGATAACGGTGTTACATTTTCTTCTTCATCGTCATTATACAACACCGAGTTCCAAAACTTGGTGCTCCAGCTCGTTTTTTTTACTTGTGATTCAACCGCTTTTCCTAACTCTTCTTCAGATTTCGTTGTCTGTGTCTGTGCTCCTGCAGCTTCTCCTGGTGGGCATGGGACCGCAAATATGACAGAAAAGATTACAGCTCCTGACGCGCTACGTATCTCGATGCTCCTCTTGCGACAAAGATGAACCATCTCTAGATAACAAGCCACATGCTCCCTCTAGAAGAACAGGATAGCATACAAAAAATTATGGACGACATACAAATCTAATAAATTAAGAATAAGGAAAGTTCAATAAAGTTTTCAATCCATGTACCGAAAGGCTAATTGATTTCTCAATTAAGCTAAACTTTGAGGAATATCCAAGGTAAGTAGCAGCTAGTAAAGCACACATTGCAATGTCAGAAGGTTTGAATTGAGTGAAGTAGACCTCTGCAGACATAGGGGGGAAATTGTTCACTCAGTACCAGTATTAGAGAATATATAAATTCAGACAACTCTTATTACGATACCTCCTTGAGACTGGACTATGATCTCATTGATGGATCGGCGTTTGAAACCACCTATCATTCTGAAGGTGGGATAATAGTGGTCCAAGAAGTGAAAGGGAGTAATAGATCTCATTCGCCAGTTAAGTCCATTGAGAATGCAAAATTCCGTTTGCATTATCTTTTCAGAGTTGAAATTCACTTCTCTGTTCATCTGGGCAACAAATAATTGCATGTTGTGGTGTGATTTTCATGAAAAGTTGAGCTTAAAATTCAACAAGATTTTATTTTTCAGTGTAAAGTGTGGTTTACCTGAAACTGCCGTGGTAAGAAATGCGTTGTTCTCATCTTGGCGGAGAGTGTGAAGCAACAGATGGCAACCAAACGAACTTTATCGTGTAAAGAAAAACCTCGTAATTCCTTGAGAGAAACAGAGAGTTTAACACAAGAGACCAGAGAAACTTCAATTGCAAATTTTAAAATTTCTACAGGTTAAAAGAAAGAATATATATTACTGCAAGCGGATTCATTGAAACAAAGCGATCAAAGTAATTCATTGCAAGGTAGGGAATATACGCATCAACATCTTCGCCCTGAGAGAGCTGTAGCAAAACCGGACAACAAATCAGAGCATAGAGTAAAATTTCAATACACTGTGACAGATATCAATAAAAACTGTGCAGTCAATTCTTATGTTTCACTGCAAAATTAAACAAACATTCAGTTTTCCCTGGATTTTCTAAGCAGTCAAACAGAGAGAAAAATGAGTTTGGAACACAGCCTAGAAAATAAAGAAAAAATAAACTAATAATAATTAAGCAAATTTGACAACAAACACATGCTAGCACGAAAGAGCCCCCGTTTCACTTCTGTTTTAAGTATATCCAAACAGATGCATCTGAAATGATCTGAAGAAAGAGAAACTCATAGTATAGTTTTACTTCACCGCAGTTACACAGATCCATAAACAAAATTCAAAAAATTGTGCAGGGATACTAAGTAGTGTTTTCCCTTCTGTTTCACAATCGAAATCAAACAGAACTTTCAGTTTCCTTAGTAGTTTGTAAGTATCAATCAGAGACAAAACTTCTCTTTTAATGCATCCAAGAAACATAGCAAAACGCGGTTGATCAGATTCTTGCAAAAAGATACAACTCAGCCAGACAGATTGCACTAGAAAACATACAAAATGCGGTGATGAAAACTGAGCTGAAAGAAAAATCTCCGAGAGAAAAACAGAAAATCCATCCATACAAGCATTAAAGATTCCTATAACTGCTAAAAGGAAAGAAAAAACATCTCGGATTTACACTTACCCTAACCATAGTGGAAACAGCATGTCTCCGATACTGAACATTGAATGGATTTGCATAAAACTCCAAGGGGGGCATGAATTCATACTCAATCTGGAGGTAATCCCTTATAGCTTCACGCTCTCTGTAAGAAGGCTGGGGGAACTCGTTGTCGGAATCCATTATCAAAAGAAGTTTCTCAAGATTCAGCTGAAGTGGAGGATTGTGTGTTTCTCAAGAAAGTGAAAAGATAACCACAGAGAAAGAGAGAGCGAAGTTTGCATAATATCAAGGGTTCTGGGTTTTATCTCTCTGAACAGTTAGTTGTTCTCAACAGAAACAGGCTCTGAAGCGCGCCAGTTTTTTGAACATTGCCATACGACGCCGTCATGGGAACAATGAATGCAACGACGTCGTTTGTCTCCCATTCTAATATTTATCTCGTTTGCTTTTTATTTTTATTTTTATTTTTATTATAACTATGAAGGAAGATAACACATGGTGACATGACAGTATGTATGGTCACTTCACTGTTGTTTGAAGGAATTTTGTGGCAATAGTGTATTTTAGTTACAATATCAACATGGATCCATTCACCATAGAAACAATATTGTGCAGTGCAGTGCGTGAAACAACTTTTAATTGTTTTCAATAACAAAGATGCTGGATATTGTATTGATCATGAAATTCAAATGAAGGGAAATTTTCCTAACTAAGTTCAGGATAAAGATAGTAGTATGTATACTGTGGCACGTGTAAATCTGTTTATAACTTTATCAAAACTAGACTTTTTAACATCTAAAGCTGTATATACAGTTTAAGAAGAAGAAAGATAAATACATGGCCCTACAATTTTAATTAAATAACTATTTTAGAAATTCTTTTAATTAAAATCAAAATGGTTGTTGAGCATAAATATGTAATTTAAATTTTTATGTTAAAGATAATATTATAATTTAAAAAAAATTTCTCTTGTAAGTATATATCTCATAATGATATCAGAATTTATGTATGTTATGATAATTTAATTGATTATAAATTAAAATAAAAAATTAAAAAATGTACTTTTTACGTGTGCTTATTAGAGTTTTAATCTATTTAATTAGAACATTAAAGTACTGATATGTATTTTCTTTTTATTAATGAATTCTTAAAAATATATATATTAATAAAAAAAATAAAAGTTTCTGTTATATATATATATATATATATATATATATATATATATAAATTGTTCAAAAAATATTGTTCTCATCGATATCAAAAAGAAAAAGAAAATATTTGATATTGATATCTTGTGAAAGAACTATGTGCTATGGGACATGCTTTTTGAAAATGAGATTATGGTCTAATATTGCTTAAACCTTAGGTTAATTTTTTTTTAGAATTGTTTTATTTAAATGAATGGGATTGAGTAAGATTTAATTGAAGGTGAGTAGGATGTGAATATGATTTGAAATGTATACATTCATTCAACTTTGAGCACAAAGGATGCCAAGCTATAAAGAAAGTTAGGAAAGGAACTGGAACCATGCACAATCCTATAATGTCAGTGTAGAAGGATATATAGAGATTAAAAGAAGGTCAAATCAGGTGCAAACTGACCTAAAGAAGATTGCAATCCTCCTTATTTAAGCACTATGCCTAAAGGCTAAAAGAAGTATGCAATACCTACCAAAAGATATATACATCAAATATAACTTTTCGACCTAGGTAAAAACTTAGATTATTTTAGTTAGAAAAAGAAATTGAATTTATAAACATTTAGATTAAAAACACAATAGAAAAAAAATTAAGTTGGTCAAGTATAAATATAAATTTGAATTTTTCATATTTTAAAAAGTTGAGGATGAGGTAAATGATGGATAATATAATTCCTAACTATACCTCATCTCTATCCCCACTCATCTCAGTTAAAAAGCTAAGTGAGAATGAATTGAAAAACAATGACACAAGTCACATAAAAAAAGAAATAAGGAGAGAAAATATAATACAAAGGATTGGTATAATCTTATCAGTAAAAAATATATATATATATATGATAAGAGAAAAAGAAGTGACGAGAGTAGACTGCGTTATTAATAACCAAATTGACTAATAGATGATATGAAAAATCACTAATCATTTTATTATGTTCAAAGATCCTCTCAAGTTAGAAAATGAATGTTTAATATACCCAACTTAAAATAAAAAGAAGTAAATGTGAAAAGAGACAAAACTTTAATGAAAATGTTAGCACATTGAAAACTAGTACTAATTAAGAAAAATTTGATGATATCTTGATTAAAATTTTTTTAAACAATGTCACAGTTTATATCTATGCATTTGGTCCATTCGTAGAAGATATGATTAGAGACTATCTGAATGACAAATTAATTATCAGAGTACAAAAGGTGAATTTTGAATGAGACAACTTTAAGCCTTTCATTAGATAATATAACTGTTGAATTATTGACAAGCGTACCAAAATTATCAATCGCAGTATAGTATTTCGATTAAATAAAAGTCGATCCCACGAGGAACAGTTTCAATGGAAATGCCCAATTATATGCTTACTAAGTGGATTAAAACAAATTGGGTTCTGCATAAATAGTTGAATTGAAATTAAATGACAAAGAACTGTAAATTGTTGAGAAAAGATCAATTAAAGGCACTTAGGATTGACTTCCTTCCTTATCCCTCTTTTGTAATGGTTATGTCAATTAAGAATGTCAATTAACCTAACAATGTTGATGTCACCTACTCAAATCATCCATGTTGATTCCTCACACAATTAAGAGATTTTCTAGTATTAGGTTTAGGGTGTTAAGCAATTGATACATTCATTCCATTCCTGACAATTAACATAACAAATATTCTTACCGTGATCTAGGGTTCAAGATATATTTTCCAATCATATCTCAAACATCAAGAATAAATCATTCTAAAGCACAAAGGATAAGAATAACAACATCAAAACATAGATTAATATCTCAAAATATCACCATGATACAAAAGAGTTCAAAGGAAGTGCATCCAATCCCAAGAGAATGAAGTTAGCCACTCATGTTGGCTATTACAATGCTCCCAATGTGGAAGAAATGAAGAATTGATAAAGATTGGACGAAACCCTAGCAGTAGTTGCGCCTATTCTCCCCAAACACTGCTACAGATATGACTTTCAATGTCGGTTATATAAGGCCTTCAACGGCGGTTCTAGAACCGACGTTGTATACGGCGACGTTGAAAGTCTACACTTTCAACGTCGGGTATATAGAACCGACATAGAAACGCTGAATATAAGCAACACTGCATTTGGGTTTTAACTACGTCGGTTATGGTAAAAACCGACGTTGATATTATTATTTTCTACGTCGGTTATTGACACAACCGACGTAGAAAGTCAATTTTTTTTAAATGGCCGCTTTGTTTATACAGGGTATCCCAATGTTTGTATACAATACCTGCAAATTTGAATACAACCCAGGCAAACAGTATACAAGATATAAACTAATTGAATGTGCATCTAAAAATATAATTGTATCCAAAATTACAAATATGTATCCAACTACTTATCTAACAAATACACTAACTACTAATCTAACTAGTAAACTAACTAAACTAACTAGTAAACTAACTACTAAACTAACTACTAACTACTAAATTAATAACTAAACTTGCCTACTTCTAACTTTAACAAACTTATCGGCCCAGGTGTTTCTAATATCTTCAATGGTCTCTATGGGCAACGCTTCTCTGTTTGAAAATACCTGTTACAAGAAAAAAGATAATTTAACAGAGTATCCAATGACACAATATTTAATTTAATTGAATACTAAATTTAAGCAAACCTGATTCCATGTATCCTCAGTCTTGCTAACAACAATCAGCCACATCCAGTGCATAACATAATATCCGCACTCATAAGATCCTGGTTGCCTATTACACTACAAAAAATAATATATTAATTTGACATATAAAATGAATGATATAATACATAAATATAAAATGACTTACATTAACAAAAATCCAATTTGGAGTCGTGTTTTTGCTTGTGTGTACTCCATTAATTGTATTGCAAACCTTAAATGCACTATGCAATACAAAATATAATGAAACAATTAAGTAACAAAACAAGTAATAATTGTTTAAATTATTATAAGAATGTGTACCTGTTTACAATGTATTTAATATCTGCATCAGGTCTCTTGCCCAATGAGCAGAACCAAGCCACAACATTCTCCTTTGGGCAAACAACCAACAACTGCCAATGATTTCTGCTTACATTACAAAAAGTTAGGATACATAGAATACACTATAAAATTTAATGCGAATAATTTCATACGCTTAAATACTTACTGATAGAAGTAAGCACCCAAGTAAACTTTCTTCCTTGACTTCATCATCCAATTTTGGATGTATATTTGAACTTCTTCTCTCTTGTTTCCTGATTTTTGTATGGATTGGGACTCAAAAAATCCATACACATCTTGGGTGCGTTGTTGCTCCGACAATTCATTCATCATCCTAAAGTAGCCAGTTCAATGTACATTCAATATGACGATAACTTCAAATAACATAATTAGTAAATAAAAATATATACTTACATTGTCCAAAATTGTAACACTGCTATGTTTAGACACTGATTGCCAACTGCTATCTCCATAGCATCGGTGTGGTCAATGTAAAGGGAAAAATTCTTATTGTCTACCCCTAACTTATCAGTATCCCACTTCACTTGAAAAGATTGAATATACAACTGTGGGACAACAGATAGTAGTTGAAAATTTTGATTTTCTGGGACATCTACTTCCTTACCTTTACTAGTTTGGGAAGTAGGAACCAGTTTAGGCAACTGGGGTGGCTTCTGAACATCCTACATAAAATAACATTGACTTGAGAAATAATAAAAAATAGTACGAGACTACATATGATAATTAATAGAAAATATATGCAAACCTTTTTCAAAATAGGCCTCATTAGATGTCTAGGCCATGCAATGAAGGTCTGGAGGGCCTGTCCCACTGTCATCACCTCGTTTGTGGGCACAGGTTCAAGAGCATAAGCATCTCGAACCTCTTCAATGACCACTTTGGCCAAGTTAGGTGCTAAAGGCACACTATGAATTGTAGATGGCCCCTCTTTAATTGAACTAACCGCCACCAATCGTGGTTCAGATCCATCCTCATCAACATAAAATTCAC